CATATATACAATCTTGAAAGAAAAAAATTGCCGACCAAGAATAATATAGCCTGCAAAACTCTCATTCAAATATGATGGTGAAATTAGGTCATTTCCAGCTAAACAGAAATTAAGGGACCACGTAAAAACCAAACAAAACTTACAAGACTTATTAAAGGGAGTCCTTCGATCTGAGAACAAACAACATCAGACCACAAGCTGAATCTAGGACACAGGATTGTACTAGCTAGATACCAACCTAGGAAATGAACCTTTAAGGACTAGGGAAAACCAAAAGATTACAACAGGGAACCAGAGAGGTTAATCTGTAAATGACAACAGCAGCAGAACAATAAAAGAAGGAATAAACAGTGTAGGTATAGAACCTGCTAATGGAGAGGAAGGCAAGGCGATAGCAAGTAATAATAGATTGGTTCAAATCTAGGAAGATAAGCGTAAATTACAAGGTAACCACAAAGAAAGTTAACAAACCTACTCATCAAAATGAAGAAAAACATAAAGTTTCAATAAAAACAAAACCTACAAAAACAGAAGAAATGAAAAAAAAAATCCAAAAAGCAAAAGGAACTCAGCACAGGATAGTAACAGGAACAAAGAAAATGTCAGCACCACAAGAAAAAAAGCACTACAAAATGCAATCCCACTCCTAGGAATATATCCTAGAGAAATAAAAGCCATCACACGAATAGACATATGCACACCCATACTCATTGCAGCACTGTTCACAATAGCAAAAAGCTGGATACAACCTAGACACCCATCAACAGATGAACGGATAAACAAACTATGGTACATACACACAATGGAGTATTATGCAAAGATAAAGAACAACGATGAATCTGTGAAGCATCTCATAACACGGATAAAACTGGAGGACATTATGCTGAGTGAAATAAGTCAATCACAAAGGGACAAATATTGTATGAGACCGCTACTGTAAAAACTCATGAACAAGTTTACACACAAAAAGTAACAATATTTGTTGGTTACCAGGGATGGGGTGGGGGAACTAAACAGACAATAGATAAGTGGTAACTTTGGTAAAGGGCAAGACAGTACACAATACTGGGGAAGCCAGCACAACTTGTACAAGGAAAGGTCATGGAAGTTCCATAGACACTTCTAAACTCCCTGAGGGACTGAATTACTGGGCGGAGGGCTGTGGGGACCACGGTCTCGAGGAACATCTAGCTCAGTGGGCATAACACAGTTTATAAAGACAATGTTCTACATTCTACCTTGGTGAGTAGCGTCTGGGGTCTTAAAAGCCTGTGAGCAGCCATCTAAGACATTCACTGGTCTCATCCCTTCAGAAGTAAGGGAGAATAAAGAGAACAAGATAAAAGGAAAAGATCAGCCCAAAGGACTAATGGACCACAGCTACCACGACCTCCACCAGACTGAGTCCAGCACAGCTAGATAGTGCCTGGCTACCACCACTGACTACTCTGACCGGGATCACAATAGAGGGTCCTGGACAGAGCGAGAAAAGGATGTAGAACAAAATTCTAACTCACAAAACAAAGACCAGATTTACTGGCCGGACAGACTAGAGAAACCCTGAGAGCATGGCCCCCAGACACCCTTTTAGCTCAGTGGGGAAGCTGCTCCTGAAGTTCACCGTTCAGCCGGGGATTGGACAGCCTCATAAAACAAAACAAGACTAATGAGGCACAGCAGTCCAGGGACAAGGACTAGAAGGCAGGAGGGGACAGGAAAGCTAGTGATAGGGAACCCAAGGTTGAGAAAGGACAGTCGTAACATGTCATGGAGTTGTTAACCATTGTCATAGGACAATATGTGTACTGTTTAATGAGAAACTATTTGTTCTGCAGACCTTCATCTAAGGTACCAAAAAAAAAAAAAAGAATTATCTATGTGAGATCAAATTAACAACAGCAACTCAAAAAGTTTGATGGGAAGCCTAGGGGGCAGTGAGTTGGAGATAATAGTGATGGAATAATTTGGACAAGGATAGTGAGAATAGCAACACAATGGGAAGATGTAATCGATGTCACTGAATTACACATGTAGAAATTTCTGAAATGGTATAACTGCAGCTATGTGTATTTTCACCAAAAAAAAGGTTCTTCAAGGTTGAGAAGAGAGAGTGTTGACATGTTGTGGGGTTGTTAACCAACGTCATAAAACAATATGTGTACTGACTGTTTAATGAGAAACTATTTGTTCTGTAAACCTTCATCTAAGTACAATAAAAAAAATTTAAAAGAAAAAAGAAAAGATTTCTGCTTCCTTACTATTTTTCTTCATTGTCATTTGGTATCTTATGTTAAAATTTCCCAGCTGGACACAGTACTGCCCTATAATTGTTATAAATACCTTTATGGGTATATACCTTTAAGAAAGATAAACTGAGAATTTCTAAGTACGTTTTAAAACAAAGGCTGGCTTTGGTATATGATGTCTTTATAAAAGCAAAGGGTGTTATTTTAAACATTTTTACATCATAATATTTCTTAGTCAGACTAGGACAGGAAACTTTAAGGTCCATTCTAACCTTCAGGTTCTAGAATTATGATACTTTATACAAACACTTAAAAAAAAAAAAAGAAAAGCTGTAATAAGAAACATACCATAGGTAAGGGGGGCAGGGAGGAAAGACAAGACAAAGTTTAATTTATTCACTGAAGTGACTGGGAGTTTCACTTGACTATATGTAGTTACAAAAGGTATGATAAGTGCAAAGAAAGAAAACTTTTTATTTTTGTTCTACCTTTTCTTTTTATTAATCTTTCAAATAATTGCTGATATATAAAACAAGCAACATTTACATAAGCTATTAATGTCTGAAAACAAAACTGTATCAAACATGTCATTTGAGAGAAAAAAGTAAAATAATTTCAAAATACTTTGCTATTTACTGAACTGAGTCCAAAGATGATCTAATTATAGCAATAATCTAATTTTTAAATATAATCAATTTTGATACAGTGTATCATCTGAGATTTCCTTGCCTGGACAAAATACCAAAGAAAATCTTAGAAATGAAAGAAACTTAGTTTTAAATCTTAGTTCTTGATAATAAATCACAAAACTTCTATCTCAATTTATACATAATAAAGTCAATTAACAAGCAAAAATAAACTAACAATTGCAAAATATTCTCCAAATATTAATAAGAGAAAATAACATTTGTTGTAGGCCTACTAGGCACCAGGAACTGTGCACTTTCTGCTACATTATCTCATTTAATCCTTACAATGACCCTTCACAGTGGATATTTTTATATACAGGTTAAATATGAGCAAATTAAGGTGCAGAAACCAAAAAGCCAAACCAAACTCACAGCCACCAAGTCAATTCCGACTCATAGCGACCCTACTGGAGACAGCAGAACAGCCCCAAGGAGCAGCTGGTGGATTTGAATTGCTGCCCTTTTGATTAGCAGCTGAGGTATTAACCACTGCACCAACAGGGCTCCAAGGTGCAGAAGAGTCAGCTAATTTGAACAAGTTAACACAGTTAAGCGGCAAAGTGGGAATTCTAACCAAATTTGACTCCAAATTCTGCTCACTGTACTATAAATAGTATTGATAGTAATGACACTCATAAATAATAATATTTATCCTGGGGTTAATCATTACTTATTACTACAATACACAGATTTTAAAATCTAGCATGCTTGAAGCAATAAAGTAAATAGAGTATGTCCTTAGCAAATGTGTTGAGAGTTCATAGGTGATATATAGGAAGGCATATGTGAGTAAATCCATGTGCAGGTATAGGTGTATCTGCAGGGATATGTATACATGTTTGTTTGTGCCATGTATATATAGCCATATACATAGCAAAGCACATAAGGGGCATAGTTAAGGAGGTTTCCTAGACATACCCTAACAACTTGCAGGATTGGTTTACTGAGTTAAAACGCTTAGGACCATAGTCTCAGGGCACAACTTAGTAAACTGGCATAACATAGTTCATAAAAATAACGTCTTACGCTAATCTGGTGAGTAGCGTCTGGGGTCTTAAAAGCTTGCAAGCGGCCATCTAAGATACAACTATTGGTCTCTACTCTTTACTACTGGAGTATGCGTAAACACAATGAAGGAAATCAAAGGCTCAAAGGAGAAACTAGTTACAGGACTAACAGCCCACGTGAACCACGGCCCCTTCTAACCTGAGACCAGAAGAACTAGATAATGCCCTGCTACCCCTACCGACCATTCTGACTAGGGACACAACAGAAGATCCCAGATAGAATGGGAAGAAAAATATAGGACAAAATTCAAATTTCTAAATAAGGTCAGACCTACTGGACCGATAGAGACTAGAGGAACCCCTGAAATTGTCACCTTAGGGTACCCTTTGAACTTGGAACTGAAGCTATTTCTGAAGGTCAGCTTTCAGCCAAATAATAGACTGGCTTATAAAATAAATATCACCCATGAGCAATGTGTTCCCTTAAGGGTCAATTATATGAGACCAAACGGTCAACATTTACCCAAAAGCAAAGAAGAGAAGGCAAGGAAGGGAAAGGAAGCTACATCAATGGAAATACAACAAACAGTGAAATAATGAGAATGTTGACACATTGTTTAAAACGTAACCAATGGTACTGAACAATTTGAATAAAAATTATTAAATGAAAACCTAATTTGCTGTGTAAACTTTCATGTAAAACACAATAAAATATTATTTTTAAATAAAGTCTATAGGTGAGTTGCTTCAATTAAATAGACTCTAAATGAATTGATTAAGTAAGTTACTATGGAGAAGATAACATAAAAAATAAGTCAATATATGCAAACTAAGAATGTTTCAAAGTTTTCTTTCTTGAGAAAAATGGCAACAATTTTTTAAAATGTATCTTATTATTCTACATTAATGTGTTAATTTGACAAAATTACAGTTTACGTTCAGGCTGGTATTCCTTTAAATTCTTAAGCATGAACAAGACAATTTAACTAGGTAACATATGTAGCTGTTAGTTGCCATCAAGTCGATTCAACAACATTTTTAAAAACAAAATATATTACCTTTAGGGGTCTACACACACCCTCGGTGATATGTCCAACAACTTCTTGAATATTTTCTTCAACACCTAAAATTAATTATTAAAAAATTTAAGATATTTTTCCATATTATACCTTACTTCACCTAAGTTCAAAGGCTAACAAACAATAATACATATGGTTACTGGCACTATTAACAAACATTTAAAAGAACCATAACAATATTTTACTAAGTTCAGTATCTCTTAGAACATTGCTAATTTGTGTAAATACCTCAGTCTAGTAATTCTTGTTAATGCATTTGACTACTGAATTAATAAAATGAACATTCTTTCTTCATCAAAAAAGTATAAATATATGAGTTACAGGAAAAATGACTGTGAAATATATTACTTGAAGGAAGTAATATGAATATATAAGGAGCCCTGGTGGCACAGGGGTTAAGCGTTCAGCTGCACCAAAAGGTCGGCGGTTCAAACCCACCAGCCACTCCACGGGAGAAAGACGTGGCAGGCTGCTTCCGTAAAGATTACAGACTTGGAAACCCTATAGGGTAGTTCTACTCTGTCCTAAAGGGTCACTGTGAGTCGGAATCAGCTTGACGGTGATGGGTTTGCTTAGGTTTAATGTAAATACATCTTTGCATTTCTTCTACAAACACCTTATTCTAGGCAGTGGTGCTAAGCATATAAGGTGAGGAAACAAAGATGAAAATCATATTTTGCAATCTAGTGGAAAACTAACATTTACAAAATACCTACTATTTATCAATCACTGAAGTAGGCACTTGACCTTAACTGCTTGCAACCACCTTCATACTTTACAGATGGAGAAATCAAGGCTCAGAAAAGTCAAGTCATTCCTACAAAATAACCTGTTTCTTCTAACTCCAATCTATTTTTCTTTCCATCTCTTAAAACTGCCTCAAAGACATCCGTTTTAAAAACATCTGTAAAGAAATACATCCTATTAAACTGGATAATTAGAGTAAAAACAGAAATTTAACTTAACAAAAAAATGCAGACTTTGAGCCAATCTAACGTAGACACAGAGTATAATCTCAATATTGAATAGCTAAAAAACTATGAGGTTAACTAGTACCACCAATCTGCACACTGGCCTATCATGAAGTTCACGTGGCTAAGCTATGTAAAATAATCATTACCAGGCCACAAGATTTCTCTTCAAATCCTATTAAAAACGAATAACCCCGCACACTCTAAGACATCTTAAGATAGTCACAATTAAGATTTGAAATTGTACAAACAATGGACAGCAGAATTCTAAAAATTATCAAGTTTTATTTCATGAAATTAGACATAAATTTAAGTACATTTGGAAAATGTGGTAATTATTTATTTTTTGAAAACGTTAGAACAGTCATGTAAGAATGAAAAACAGCTTGGGTGATAAAAAATGAAAGAATAAGTAGCTTAATGACTTTAAGCTAGTCACTCAGCCTCAGTTTTATTACTAATAAACTGTACATAATATCATCTTTTACCTTTAAAAGAGGATTTGAGGATTTGAGATAATGTACACTACATACTCAAGAAATGTCTTAAGTGAATCAGAAGAGGCTAGGCTTGATAAGGAAGTTAATAAGGGTCCCTACAGAAGAAAGGCCCGGTGATCTATTTCTGAAAAATCAGCCATTGAAAACCCTATGGAGCACAGTTCTACTCTGAAACACATAGAGTCGCTATGAGTGGAACTGACAACAACTGGTTTTTTCTAAAACGGTGAACAGTTGAGCAATAGGATGAAAGAGGTATTTATGGAGAAGTAAGACTATCTGCAGAATAAGCGGGAACCTAGGGAGAGGAAGATTAATTAGGATCCTTACTGTTCCATCTAGCTGTGAAGTTGTTTATCTCAGTGAAGATGGGGGCAATAAGAATAGAAACTGAGGCAGGGTCAAGATGGCGGAGTAGTCAGATGCTTCCGGTGGACCCTCTTAAAACAAAGATCCGAAAAAACAACTGATTCTATTATATATTATGGCCATCTGGGAGCCCTGAAATTCAAGGGCAGAGTTGAGGAACAAGACTGCGTGGCAGGGGGAGGGAGAAACAGTTTGGAAGCAGCAAGGAGTTGCCAGACCTGATCTGGCAAGAGCCTGAGCCCTTCAGGCCTGAGCAGCTCATGGGTGAACGGTAAGGCAGGGAAGCGGCGGTGCTCAGAAGGTGCATTTTTCGCACCGGGACAGACCCAGTGCCAGAGAGTCTACACAGCCACCCGGAACCAGTGAGAAACAGCCCTGAATCAGCGAAAGATAACTACTTGCAATCGGCCTAGCATGCAGATCAAAAACACCCCCTTAGGGAAAAACCTCTCTCTCATTTACGTCCCCACTCCCGGCTCTACACTGGGTCCTGGAATGCCTTGACCAACTGCCAAGTCCCCTGGTCCAGAAGTAGGATCCGTCACACGCCCAGAGCCATTCTCCCTGGCTTGGAGAGTGAACAAATTAACAAACGGGTAGGCACAGCTCCTTTGCGTTGGCACAGGCATAAGGGATCCATGGACTTTGAGTGCCTTTCCCCCTAGAGAGACTTGTGCAGGCCCATCTTCACAGTGTAGGCCCTCATTACTGCAATTCAACTGGGTATATACTGGAACTCTAACTGCAATTGTTTCAGCTGTGAAGTTGCAGGTTCTTGACATGACACTGCTCAGCCAATTAAGCAGGGTCTTCATCTACCCACATCAGGGACCTGAGGACTGGTGGCTCCACCCATGCCACCTAGCCACCTTGGATAGGGGCTCAAGAATAAGAGGTGCTCCCCAGTTCTTACACCCAACAGCATTAGGTGCTCATAGTCTGGCTGCAAAACCCATTAACCTACGCGCTCTAGGGAACAGGGACACGCCTTCCTCTTGGACACTTGGGGGCAGCAGTCAGCCCACTGCCTTGGTCAGAGTGTGTCCCCCTGCTGTAGCCAGATAGCTGTGCCTACATCAATCACCCATGCCTGTCTAGGACTGTAAGTGAGAGCCTACACCACACACTTGGTGGCTATCTACCTGGGCACCTGAGCTGACTCCATACAGGAGAAGTGGGCAGACTCCTGAGCTCACATACCTAGAAAAAGATCTAACCACCTGGTGACAAGACATTAGAGCTTCAAAGGTGCCAATAATCAAACTAGCTCATATGAGCAGCCTATTTGGGCATATCAAAACAAAACAAGAAGCTAGGATACAGTAAGCAAACATAAAATAAATAAATATAATAACTTATTGATGGCTCGGAGAGAACATTCAATATCAAATCAGATAAAGAGGCAATCCATGATGGCTTCAGCAAGCTCCCAAAATAAAGAATCAAGAAATTCTGCAGAGGAGGAAAATTTCTCGGAATTACCTGAGGCAGAATACAAAAGATTAATATACAGAACTCTTCAGGAAATTAAGCAAAATGCAGAACACACAACAGAGGAAAGAAAAAAGAACAGAGAAGAGCATAATGACAAATTTAATAGGCTGCAAGAAACCACAGAGAGACAGCAATCAGAAATCCAGAAGATTAACAATAAAATTTCAGAATTAGACAATTCAATAGAAAGTCATAGGAGGAGAACAGAGTTGGCAGAAATCAGATAAAGCACTTGACACCAACTTATTTGAGGAAAAATCAAATAAAAATATTTTTTAAAATGAAAAATCTCTAAGAATTATGTGGGACGCTATCAAGAGGAATAACCTACGAGTGACTGGAGTACCAGAATGGGGGGTAACAGAAAAAATAGAGAGAAGTGTTAAAGATTTCTTGGCAGAAAACTTCCCTGATATCGTGAAAGATGACAAGACATCTATCCAAGATGCTCATCAAACCCCATATAAGGTAGATCCAAAAAGAAGTCACCAAGATATATTATAATCAAACTTGCCAAACCAAAGATAAACAGACAATTTTAAGAGCAGCTAGGGATAAACAAAAAGTCATCTACAAAGGAGAATCAATAAGAATAAGCTCAGACTACTCAGCAGAAACCCTGCAGGCAAGAAGGCAATGGGATGACATACATAAAGCCTTGAAAGAAAAAAACTGCCAGCCAAGAATTATATATCCAACAAAACTGTCGCTCAAATATGACAGTGAAATTAGGGCATTTCCAGATAAACAGAAGTTTAGGGAATTTGCAAAAACCAAACCAAAATTACAAGACATACTAAAGGGAGTCCTCCAGTTAGAAAATTAGTAACATCAGATAATAACCCAAGACTAGAACATAGGACAGAGCAACCAGATATCAACCCAGATAGGGAAGACACAAAAATAAATCAAAGCTAAAACACTGAAAATAGGGAAACAGATGTCAATATGTAAAAGATGACAACATTAAAACAAAAAACGGGGACTTAAAACATGTAGACACAGATTTTTCAAATGGAGAGGAAGTCAAGGCAATATAAAGAAATAAAAGACTGGTATAAACTTAGAAAAATAGGGGTAAATATTAAGGTAACCACAAAGGAAACTAACAATCCTACAAGTCAAAATAAAAAACTAGAAAAATATAAAGACTGAGCAAACAAAATCAACAACAATGAAAAAGATGAAAAGAAAACACAAAGGAAAATTAAGTGAAACAAAGAAACTGTGAACACACAAAAAAAGACATCAAAATGACAGCACTGAACTCATACCCATCAATAATTATGCTGCATGTAAATGGACTAAAGGCACCAATAAAGAGACAGAGACTATCAGATTGGATAAAAAAACACGATTCGTCTATATGCTGCCTACAAGAGACACATCTGAGACTTAAAGACACAAAAACTAAAACTCAAAGGTGGAAAAAAATATATCAAGCAAACAACACACAAAAAAGAGCAGAGTGCCAATATTAATCTCTGACAAAATAGACTGTAAAGAAAAATCCACTATAAAAGATAAGGAAGGACACTATATAATGATTAAAGGGTCAATACACCAGGAGGACATAACTATAATAAATATTTACACACCCAATGACAGGGCTACAAAATACATGAAACAAACTCTAACAGCACTCAAAAGAGAGATAGACACCTTCACAACAGTAGTAGGAGACTTCAAAACACCACTTTTGGTGAAGGACAGAACATCCAGAAAGAAGCTCAACAAAGACACAGAAGAATTAATGCTATAATCAACCACCTTGATCTCACAGACATATACCAAACACTCCACCTAACAGCACCCAAGAATATTTTCTTTTCCAATGCACATGGAACATTCCCCAGAATAGACCACCTATCAGTCCATAAAGCAAGCCTTAACAAAATCCAAAGCACTGAAATATTACAAAGCATCTTTTCTGACCTTAAAGCCATAAAAGTAGAAATTAACAACAGAAAAGACAAGGAAAAAAATCAAACACATGGAAACTGAACAACACCTTGCTCAAAAACTACTGGGTAATGGAAGAAATTAAAGATGGAATAAAGAAATTCATAGAATCAAACGAGAATAAAAACACATCCTACCACAACCTATGGGACACAGCAAAAGTAGTGCTCAGAGGTCAGTTTATAGCAATAAATGCACACATCCAAAAAGAAGAAAGGGCCATAATCAAACATTAACCCTACATCTGGAACAAGCAGAAAGAGAATAAGAAAAGAAGCCCTCAGGTGACAGAAGAAAGGAAATAATAAGAATTAGAGGAAAATTAAATGAAGAAGAGGATAGAAAAACAATTGAGTTAACAAGACCAAAAAAAGCTGGTTCTTTGAAAAGACCAACAAAACTGACAAACCACTGGCCAAACTGACAAAAGAAAAACAGGAGAAGAAGCAGATAACCTGTATAAAAAATGAGATGGGTGATATCACAACACACCCAACTGAAATTAAAAGAATCATTAACAGAATACTATGAAAAATTGTACTCTAACACATTTGAAAACCTAGAGGATATGGACAAATTTGTAGAAACTCACTACCTACCTAAACTAACACAAACAGGGGTAGGACAACTAAATAAACCCATAACAAAAGAAGAGATTGAAAAGGTAATTAAAAAACTCCCAACCAAAAAAAAATCCTGGCCTGGATAGCTTCACTGGAGCATTCTACCAAAGTTTCAGAGAAGAGTTAAACACCACTACTACTGAAGGTATTTCAGAGCATAGAAAAGGATGGAATACTCCCAAACTCATTCTATGAAGCCAGCATAACCTTGATACCAAATCCAGATAAAGACACCAGAAAAAAAGAAAATTATAGAACAATATCCCTCATGAACATTGACACAAAAATCCTCAACAAAATTCTACCCAACAGAATTCAGCAACATATCAAAAAAATAATTCACCATGATCAAGTGGGATTTATATACCAGGTACACAGGGATGGTTCCACATTAGAAAAACAATCAGTGTAATCCACCACATTAATAAAACAAAAGACAAGAACCACATGATCTTCTCAATTGATGCAGAAAAGGCATCTGACAAAGTCCAACACCCATTCATGATAAAAACTCTCAACAAACAAGGAATAGAAGGGAAATTCCTCAATATAACTAAGTGTATTTATACAAAGCCAACAGCCAACATCATCCTAAATGGAGAGACTTTGAAAGCATTCCCCTTGAGAATGGGAACCAGACAAGGATGCCCTTTATCACCACTCTTATTCAACATTGTGCTGGAGGTCCTAGCCAGAGCAATTAGGCTAGAAAAAGAAATAAAGACCACCAAATTGGTAAGGAAGAAGTCAAAGTATCTCTATTTGCAGATGATATGATCTTATACACAGAAAACCCCAAAGAATCCACAAGAAAACTACTGGAACTAATAGAAGATTTCAACAAAGTATCAGCATACAAGATAAACATACAAAAATCAGCTGGATTCCTTTACACCAACAAAGAGAACCTCGAAGAGGAAATCACCAAATCAATACCATTTACAATATCCCCCAATAAGATAAAATACTTAGGAATAAATCTAACCAGAGATGTAAAAGATTTATACAATGAAAACTATAAAACACTACTGCAAGAAACCAAAAAAGACCTGCATAACTGGAAAAACACACCTCGCTCATGGATAGGAAGACCCAACATTGTGAAAATGTCAATTCGACCCAAAGCGATTTACAGATGCAATGCAATCCTGATCCAGATTCCAACGGCATTTTTTAATGAAATGGAGAAACAAATCACCAACTTCGTATGGAAAGGGAAGAGGCCCCAAATAAGTAAAGTACTACTCAAGAAGAAGAACAAAGTAGGAGGCCACACACTACCTGATTTTAGAACCTATTATACTGGCACGGTAGTCAAAACAGCCTTGTACTGGTACAACAACAGATAGACAGACCTGTGGAACAGAATTGAGAATTCAGACATAAATTCATCCACCTATGAGTAGCTGATATTTGACAAAGGCCCAAAGTCCGTTAATTGGGGAAAAGACAGTCTCTTTAACAAATGGTGCTGGCATAATTAGATATCCCTCTGCAAAACACTGAAATGAGATCCATACCTCACACCACGCACAAAAACTAACTCAAAATGGATCAAAGACTTAAATATGAAGTCGAAAACGATAAAGATCATGGAAGAAAAAATAGGGACAACGCTGGGAGCCCTAATACATGGCATAAACACAATACGAACCATAAGTAACAATGTACAAGCACCAGCAGAGAAACTAGATAACTGGGAGCTCCTGAAAATCAAACACGTATGCTCATCAAAAGACTTCACCAAAAGAGTCAAAAGACAACCAACAGACTGAGAAAAAGGTTTTGGCTACGACAAATCCGGTCAGCATCTAAACTCTAAAATCTATAAGATACTGCAAAACCTCAACAACAAAAAGACAAATAACCTAATTAAAAACTGGGCAAAGGATATGAACAGGCACTTCACCAAAGAAGGTATTCAGGTGGCTAACAAACACATGAAGAAATGCTCACGATCATTAGACATTAGAGAAATGGAGATCAAAACTACAATGAGATATCATCTCACCCCATCAAGGCCAACATTAATCCAAAAAACACAAAATAATAAATGCTGGAAAGGTGTGGAGAGACTGGAACACTCATACACTGTCGGTGGGAATGCAAAATGGGACAACCACTTTGGAAATCGATTTGGCGCTTCCTTAAAAAGCTAGAAATAGAAGTACCATACGATCCAGCTATCCCGCTCCTTAGAATATATCCTAGAGAAATAACAGCCGTCACACAGATAGATATATGCACACCCGTGTTCACTGCAGCACTGTTCACAATAGCAAAAAGATGGACATAACCTAGGTGCCCATCAATGGACGAACGGATAAACTGTGGTATATCCACACAATGGAATACTATGCAACAATAAAGAACAACAATGAAGCCATGAAATATCTTGTAACATGGAAGAAGCTGGAGGGCATTATGCTGAGTGAATTTATTCAGTCACAGAAGGACAAATATTGTATAAGACCACTATTATAAGAACTCAAGAAAAGGTTTAAACACAGAAGAAAACATTCTTTGATAGTTACAAGGGTGGAGAGGGAGGGTCAGGGTCATTTTCTAACTAGATAGTAGGTAAGAATTATCTTAGGTGAAGGAAAGGACAGCACAGACTACAGGGGAAGTCAGCACAACTGGACTAAACCAAAGAAGTTTCCTGAATACAATCAAACACTTTGAGGGACAGAGTAGCAGGGGTAGGGATCTGGGGACCATGCTTTCAGGTGACATCTAGGTCAACTGGCATAACAAAGCTTATTAAGAAAATGTTCTGCATCCTACTTTGGTGAGTGGCGTCTGGGGTCTTAAAAGCTTGCAAGCGGCCATCTATGATGCATCAAATGGTCCCAACCACCTGCAGTAAAGGAGAATGAAGAACACCAAAGACACAAGGAAAGTAGCAGGCCAAGAGACAGAAAGGGCCACATAAACTGGAGACTTCATCAGCCTGCGACCAGAAGAACTAGATGGTGCCCGGCTACCACCAATGACTGCCCTGATAGGGAACACAACAGAGAGCCCTGGATGGAACAGAGGAAAGGAGGGGTATAAAACTCAAATTCTAGTAAGAAGACCAGACCTAATGGTCTGAGACTGGAGGAACCCCGGAAAGCATGGCCCCTGGATTCTCTACCAGCCCAGAACTAAAACAATTTCTGATGCCAACTCTTCAGACAGGGATTGGACTGGACAGTGGGACAAAGTGATACTCGTGAGGAGTGTGCCTCTTAGCTCAAGTAGATACATGAGACTAAACGGGCAGCTTCTGTCTGGAGGTGAGATGGGAAGGCAGAGAGGGTTAGGAGCTGGTTGAATGGAAATGGGGAATCAGGGGTAGAAAGGAGGAGTGTGCTGTCACAGTATGGGGAGAGCAATCAGGGTCTCAAAACAATGTGTGTACAAATTTTTGTATGGGGAAAAAAATAGAAACTGAGAAGCGATGTATCATTGTCTATGCTTAGTCTTTAGCAATAACAAACTATAGGCTCACCTTGTGTAGTTACATGCTTTAAAAGAGCTTCAAGATGTTCCTTTTCAGAAGCAGTAGCTTGATGGAGCCAAGCCAACATATCTCCAACATACCTAATAAAAACTAAATGCTAGTAAAGATTTCCTTGGGAAGAAACATCAACTAGTATAATATTGTCTGATTACTATACCTTAAAGGGTCATGGGAGTGCATTTCAATGGGTCTAGGTGTACCTCCTGGACCCCCTCTTGTAAGAGCATCAATAAATCCACGAACAACTGTACTTCTTCTGGCTGTTCCAAATTCATCTAATGTATACCTAAAAGAAACAAGTTATGTGAAAAACAGTTGTTTTCCTTTGTTATGATTATGTTACACTCTTCATGCAATTTCTGAGATAAGAAAGACATCTAAAGCCTTACTTAGGCACTCTCTCAAGCAATATTACTTTTAAAAAGTAAAAAATATTTATAAGGTAACTTTACCATAATGAAAATTCAGTTTAAAGGTTGTTATTTTTACTCATTGTTAGAAAGAATGGTGGGATTTGGGACTAAAAAAGGGGTGGTGGAGGCAAGGGACAGTGTGGCAGATCTTGTAAAAGTAAAATATCAAGCCCAGGTGGAAATCCTAGACTCTTCAGGTTTCAGTACATTTGCAGTCCAAAACATGATAGTCTTTTTTTTTACACAAGGCCACATCTACTTCTCAGAGGCTAGCTATAACTAGAACTTGGCAATTAAAAAATAACTCTTTCTTCTGTATTAAAAAATTCCACTTTACACTTATCATAATTTACCACCAAAATTTGCCCCCAAAATACCATACATTTTTAAAAGTTTATTTTGACTCCAGTATTACACATATTAGATATTCCTTCAATTAACTGACCAACCATGCATACAGAGCAAACATCTTTTTCTACGTACATTTATAAGATACAAAATGTGGTTAAAAGGGAAAAAAAAAAGCTTCCTATGAGTTGGAATCAATTCAACAGCACACAACAACAACCGAAGGGAATTGGTAGGGAAGGGAAACTTTGAATTGAGGAGGATAATTTAAAGGAAACTTTATGAGAAGGATGGCTTGGAGTTGCCAAGAGTATCCATTCCTTTGACTAGAACCGGCCTTTATTTCTGATTATCACCTCCGTTCCCTCCTCTCAATTGAAAGTTCTATTTCAAAAACACAGGAAAACAAAATAATTTTTCATAATCCTATGCCAGTAGATTTTAGACCCATAACTCTTAAATCTCTAAACACTGTTCTATCAGACCAAATAGTAAGAACTGTTTGTAATTTATTTTTAAAAAAACAACTAAAATTTCTCAAACGTTTCCAAAATTAATTTCTCAAGCTATAATACTGCTGTTTAAATTTTTTTGTTGTTGTTGAGAATAAACACAGAAAAACATACACAAATTCAACAATTTCAACATGAACAATTCAGTAACACTGATTATATTCTACGAGTTGTGTAACCATTCTCACTCCCCTTTTCCAAATTGTTCCTCCCCCATTAACATAAACTCACCGCTCTAGGTGTCCTATCTAATCTTTTGAGTTGCTATTGTCAATTTGATTCCATATAGACAGCTCTTAAAAGAGCACAATACTCAAGGCAGACATTTTTACTAGTTAAGCTAAACTATTATTTGGTTTAAACAAGACTTCAGGGTATATTTTCAGTTTGAGGTTTAGAGATTATCTCAGGGCAGTAATTTTGGGGGTTTATCCAGCCTCAATGACTCCAGAAACCCTGGATTCCATGAAATTTGAAACTATGTTCTACAATTTCATCCTTTTGATCAGGATTCTTCTATGGAATCTTTGATCAAAATGTTCATTAATGGTAACTGGGAACCATCCCACACCAGCTTCTGGTCTCATGACAAAAGAGGCAACTTGCTCATGGAGGCAATTAGCCACACATTCCATTTCCTCTCCCTATTCCTGACTCTCTTTCTTCCCTTGTTGCTCCAGACGAATACATGTACCCTGGATGGCTTGCAAGCTTTTAAGACCCCAAGCACCATGCAACGAACTAGGAGACAGAATGGAAGCAATAAACACAATGTGAGGCCAATTAACTGGTATGTCCCATGAAACCATGACCCTAAACCTCCAGAACAAGAAACCAAACCCCAAGAGGTGTGCCTCAGCAGCTACTCTTTTGTTGTTGTTGTAAATATACTTATAACTTCTGCCAATTCAACTTTTTATAGGTGTACAATTTATGGACATCAACTATATTAAGGAGCTATGTAACCCTACCCTTAATCAATGCAATTTTCCCATCACTGTAAACAGAAACTCAGTGCTTTATAAGCAGTAACTCCTTCCCCCCCCCATCCCCATAGCCACTAATAAATTTTGGTCTGCATACATTTGCCTATTCTTGTCTTTTATATAAGTGAGGTCATACAATATTTGTCCTTTTGTGATTGACTTATTTCAGTTGGTATAACGTCTTCAAACTCATTCCATGTTGCAGCATGTATCAAGACTTCATTTCTCTTTATGGCTTAGTATTCCACTGTATGTATGCACCACATTTTGTTTATCCATTCATCTGTTGATGGGCATTTAGGTTGTTTCCACCTTTTGGCTATTGTGAACGGTGCTGCAATGAACACTAGTGTACAAATCTCTGAGTCTCTGTTTTCAAGTCTTTTCGGTATATACCTAGGAGTGGAACTGCTGGGTCATCTGGTAGTTCTATTTTAGTTTTTTGAAGGACCACCACACTGTTTCCCACACTGGCTGTACCATTTTGCATTCCTACCAGCAATGAATAAGGGTTCCAATTTCCCCACATTCTTGCCAACATTTGCTATTTTTCAGGGTTTTTTTTTTTTTTTTTTTTTTATCTTAGCCATTCTAGTTGGAGTAAAATGGTACCTCATTGTGGTTTTGATTTACATCTCCCTGATGGTTAATAACATAGAGCATCTTTTTGTGTGTTTGGTGGCCATCTGAATGTCCTCTTCAGTGAAATGTCTATTTATGTCCTTTGCCCATTTTTGATTGGGTTATTTATATCTTTTTGTTGTTAAGTTGTTAAAGTTTTATATATATTTTGGTTATTAGATTCTTATCAGATATATGGTTTCTGAAGATCTGCTTTTTTTAATATACCACATAGTTTAAAAAAAAACACTTTTTTTAAATATAAGAAAGCTAGAAAAAGCAGTATTTTCAAATAAAAGAAAAAAGTAAAGTGGTCAGTAGATACAAATTTTTAGAAATCTGAATCTTTCTTAAGGACTGTTTACTACTATCCAGACTGTCCTTTATATGTGTGTGTGTGTGTTTTCAGTTAAAAGGAAATAGTTTTGAAATTCCCTGCATGACACATTCACATAAACCAAAAAACCAAACCTGTTGCCCTCGAGTCAATTCCAACTCATAGCGACCCTATAGGACAGAGTGGAACTGCCCCATGGACTTTCCAAGGAGTGCCTGGTGGATGTGAACTGCTGACCTTTTGGTTAGCAGCCATAGCACTTAACCATTATGCCACCAGGGTTTCCACATATTCACAAGGAAAGGGAAAACGCAATATGGAGCTAAGTTTGCTAAAATGCATCACTGTCATGCATCATTTTCTTTTTTTCAAAAAACAAAACTGAACAAAAATGCTCACTTCTATTTTTTTTCCCTCATGCTCTTAAATTATAATTTTGTTTAATAGGGAAAAGGTATTCTTACAAACAATCACCCAATTCTAAGAAATAATAAACTTATGCTCAGATTACTTACCCATTACAGCAAAAAAATTCACAAACTATTAACTTTTTAACTATATAAAACTAATCCTCACTCCCAAGACCCTTCTGATCACATTAAGCAAAAATAATATAATTTCTTTTCTAGGACTGACCACTGTGACCACAAGTTATATTAGAAACAAGTGAATCTACTGGCATTCTAAATGGGGGGAAATTATCAAACCTGGCAAACAATGAAATTTAATATGCACAATAGTATGAAATACCAATAAACAATATTAATGCAAAAACTTTCTGCAGGAAGACATCCGAAGCAAAAATAGCATGAGCTACAGTGAGCCTTCAATATCATCTATAGACATGAAACATCTTTTCCCAAAGAAGAAAACTTCCTTAACAAGGGTCAAAAATTCAAAATGCAACCTTTACAAAGTTGAATGTTAAAATTATGTAAATACCCTAATATACCTACAGTTAAAATGAAAAATTAAAAACCCCATTTTTTATTATGCTCAGTTACATAAAAAGAAGAAAAATTTTGGTCAAAAAGCAAATTAAAAAAGAATAGTAGAATGCTCTCTTATTAATGCAACAAATACATAAAGAATGAAAAAAATCAGCATTGTACATATGAGTACATTCTTAAACAATTTATATTCCACAGGAATATAAACATTACCAAAGGAAAAAAGAAATCAATTTTTTTATTTCCATTTATAATAAATTTCTTTTTTAAGAAATATTTGTGTTGATTTATTAAAAGTTACTAATGCATTTCAAGAGACTCAACGGGCAGCTTCTGTCCGGAGGCGAGATGGGAAGGCAGAGAGGGTTAGGAGCTGGTTGAATGGACATGGGGAATCAGGGGTAGAAGGGGGAGTGTGCTGCCACAGTAAGGGGAGAGCAATTAGGGTCATATAACAATGTATGTATAAATTTTTGTATGGGAGACTAACTTGAAATGTAAACTTCATTTAAACAACAATAATTTTAAAAACAAGTTACTAATGTATGAGCATTCCAGTTACATACTGAGAAGAATTCACTCAGGGAATTCAATAACTGACGTTCTCCTCACACATGATACCTACATACCAGAGACATAAAAACAGTGAAACTTTACACACTACTTTACTTATACACTGCCATCTGGTGGCTAGTGTGATTATCAAGTTTCCCCTAAATTCAAGGAAACAACCACTTTGAAAATAATGTTCCCTTTTAGCAAACATGTTATCTTAATCAACTAGTCTTCAAAACCTACTTCTTCCCCACTCAGTTTCCAAATGCCTCTCAAAATCAGATAGCTCTGAGTTGATTCTGACTCATGGCGATCGCACGTGCACCAGAGTAGATCTGTGCTCCACAGGGTTTTCAAAGGCTGCTTTTTCTGAAGTAGATCACCAGGCCTTTCTTCTGAGGTACCTCTGGGTGAACTCGACTCACCAACCTTTGGTTAGCAGCCTAGTACTTAAACACTTGATCATTTGCACTACCCAGCTGTCGTCGAGTCGACCTCCAACTCACGGCAGCCCTATGTGTGTCAGAGTAGAACTGTGGTCCATAGAGTTTTCAACAGCTGATTTTTTGGAAGTAGATCACCAACCAACCTTTTCTTCTGAGGTGACTCTGGGTGGACTCGATCCACCAACCCTTTGGTTAGCAGCTGAACACATTAATCGTTTGTACCACCCAGTGACTTCTGAATGTCTCTCACAATCTTTCAAATTGCACTAATGCCCCCATTCCCTGTCATGCAGCCTTTAGAGATAAACTTTGTCTCTCTATTTTAGCTCTACTCTTTGTCTTTGACGCTTTTTCCACGGCTGTGATTTAGACCTTTAATACACCCTTTTTAGTTGATAGCTTTCTATTTTTTTCCTTTCAAAATAAAAACAACAGCTAATACTGAGTGATGCCGTCAAGTCTTATGCGAAGTATCTTATGTGAACAATCAATTTCCACTGCACAACCACCCTGTAAGATAGGCACTATTATTATCCTCATTTTACAGCCAAGGAAACGGAAACTTAAAAATGTTCCAGGGCTTGTCAAAGAAATCTGACTCAAGAGCCTACCTTCTAAACCATTATATAATACCGCTGCTTTTCAAGTGTCAACCAAAGATCATAATTTAGTAAAAATGGATTTACATGGTAGCAGACAAGGTAACACATTACTAAAATCAAACACTACAGGTTTTAAGTACTTAACGACTCTAATAATCAACACCAATACCTTAAACTGAAAAAGTTGGGAAAGAAATTTCTAAGTAGATATAATCTGTTGAGCTGCAGATCAACAGTGAGCATTAGCTTATCATATGTACATGCACAGCATTCAAGGCTATTATGATCTACCCCTTGCTACTAATCTAATAGTCAGTGCAAGCTCTTGCAATTAATTTCCCAAAGACACATGTTCTTTCTCAATCCACATCCTTACACCTACTGTTCCCTCTTCTCTCCCCAGAAAACACCTATTCAACCTTGCCTTAGGGAACTTTCTTTGAGTTCATCCCCTTTCCCTACCGCAGAATCACTAGAGTCATACTGTATGATCCCACAGCACCTGAGACATGACTGCTAGAATAGCAATTACATATTCTATTAAAATGGATTCGTCTGTATCTATTTCCATAAAATAAAATAATCTGAGGGCAGGGTTTTATAGATATTGTATATCTAGCACTTAGAATGGTGTACTCTTATCTTAAACAACTGTCCCAGCATTTGTGTTCTGAAACTTTACTACAGAGGATATGAAAAGTTCCACTCAGAAAGTAATGGGGAAATCCCCTAAAAATATCATAAGGAGCATCTGAAAGGGATGATTCAGAGTAGGCTTAAATGCCTATGTAGAAGCATCTTGGCTTTCTATTCCCTTAATTAAGTCATCTTTCTCTTGATCTCCCTAAAGCTCATTTTCATATTACTATAGGCATTAAAAAACAGTATTTAATTTTACTTCATATGGGAAATGAAAGAATAAAATTATAGAATAATAAAAATATATATCACTCTCTCCCACTGCCAACAAGTTGACCCTGGTGGTGCAGTGGTTAAGATCTACAGCGAGCTAAAGCTGCTAACCAAATGGTCAGCAGTTTGAATCCACCAGCCACTCCTTGGAAACCCTATGGAGCAGTTCTACTCTGTCCTATAGGGTCACTATGAGAAAATATACATATGAACAAGTTAACAATGCATAGGATTTTTATCCACAGCATTACTACATATCTCACGGCTGGCAGAGATTACAGGATCAAAGTCCCCAGCCTCTCTTTTCTTGCATCCTGTTAATAGATCCCTGATTTTCCATTCTCTTTTTTTCATCTCTGGGTAGTTATATCCCTAAGTCCCCATTTGGTCTCCTCTCCAGGGCAGGGTTGATGGAGGAATTTTAGTTATTTATAATTCCAAGGTAGTTAATAAAATGACAGATTGGGGGAAAGCTCCATAATCTCTATATAAACAAGAGGCAGTCTAGATATAGGGGATCCTGTTTTTTCCCCTCCATATCGTATTCTACAGTAAGTAATATGCAAATACATTCACATTCCAATGATATACACACAACATAAGGTAAAAATATCACTGTGAATTACCAAAAATATTGCTCACACTACTACATATGAATTTGACAACACTGGAAATTAATGTAAATTATCAAAGAAAATGTAGGTTTATCTTTTTTTCATGAGGAAAGTCACCAACTTGTATAAGACAGGTCTATCCTGCAGGGCTTCCACTGCCTGAGTTAATACTGGAGATATGTCACATGATTCTTGTGTCAACGTTCTGCACTCACCTGAAAAATAATTAACATTGTAACTCTTGTTAAATTAAAATTAGGTCTTCATTATGCCCATTGCACACCAGGAATCTAAATTCTGTAGCAAATTTCACATGAAAAGACTGCTTGGAAAATTCTAGAGAATATGCAATCAGAAACTAGTTATGTTGTCACTCAAACCAAAAATTTATGCTTAAGTATTTATATAACTTTAAATGACCACATATGCCATCTGGTACAACCCAAATCTCTATTTTAGTATTATAATAAACTACAGTTCTGAAGAAACTGGTCAACAAACAAATATTTACTGAATAACTGCTATACAGGAGCCCTGGTGGCAGAGTAGTTAAAGCAGTTTGAACCCACGAGCCACTCCACAGGAGAAAGACGTAGCACTCTGTGCCCGTAAAGGTTTGCAATCTTAGAAACCCTATGGGGCAGTTCTACTCTGTCCTGCAGGGTCGCTATGAGTCGGAATCAACTCGACGGCAGCAGGTCTGGAACTGCTATACACGTGGCAGTGTGCTAGATTCAGCGGGAAAGGGGGGTACATGAAAAATTACATTTCTTAAGCAGCTTGCTAAAATCGTTTATGTGGATAATTAATACATGGTAGTAAAATTTTAATTTCAAAATAGTCTGGATTTTAAGCTCTTAGAAGAAATCTCTGTGCTTACATTTTACTATTCTGATTTTATTCATAAAATGTTTCCTAAGTGCCTATTACAGTCAAAGAAGTTAGAACCTGTTTGGAAATTCCTAACTTTCTGGTGTATGTGACTGAGAAAAAAAACACATGCATGTATGGAATTAGAGGTATCTTAAAATGACTTCACAGTCCCTAAGAGTCAGAGCCCAGTTTGGAACCATTATGCTGGACGTCACGTGAACGCAGAGTCATGTGAGGCAATGCCCTTACCTGAACACAGGGTAGCATGCTCTAAGTGCTACATAAGAATTTCCAGCAGTAAGTGCTCAGGGATGGGAAAAGACACTGTGATTCGAGGCAGTCACGGAAAGTTCCAGGAAGGTAGAGAATCCAAGTTCAGCCTTGAAGGCTGAGATAGGATTTAGACACCGAGAAAACCAGACAACAACAATCCAGATGGAAGAAAACGGTGTGAACAATAAAAGAGGAAGAAAAAGGAGCAGGTTTGGGAGATAAAAAGAGTAAATCATCCTGACTAAAGTCAGTACAGTTCTGGTGCAAATGGTTGACTGGATTTAATGCCAACTCCTTCAGTCAGGTGGTAACACCTATTAAAGTAGCAGTTCTTCTGCTCCATTCTTGCTTGTCCTAACTTACCTGGATGTAACAGGCTGTTTATCTAAACAGTTTATTAAAATTTTTTAAAACAAAAGAATACACATATTAACTAAGTCAAATAAATGACTTGTGACAAGCAAAATAATGACCCTCCCCCCTCCCCCCACTGACTGCTCTGACCAGGATCACAACAGAGGGTTCTGGACAGAGCTGGAGAAGGATGTAGAGCATAATTCTAACTCACAAAAAAAGACCAGATTTACTGGCCTAAAGGAGACTGGAGAAACCTCGAGAGCATGGCCCCCAGACACCCTTTTAGCTCAGTGGTGAAGCTACCTCCGAGGTTCACTGTTCAGCCTGGGAGTGGACAGCCCCATAAAACCAAATGAGACTAACGAGGTACAGGAGTCCAGTGACAAGGGCCAGAAGGCAGAAGGGGACAAGGAAGCTGGTGATAGGGAACCCAAGGTTGAGTAAGGATATTGTTGATGTGTTGTGAGATTGTTAACCATTGTCATAGGGAAACATTTGTAGTAACTGTTAAATGAGAAACTGTTTTGTTCTGTAAGCCTTCATCTTAAGTGAGAATAACAGCACAATTGGAAGAGCGTAGTCAATGTCACTGAACTGTGCATGCAGAAATCTTTGAAACAGTGTATCTTTGGCTATGTGTATTTTCACCAAAAAAAAAAGGTTGAGAAGATAGAGGGTTAATATGTTGTGGGGTTGTTAACCAATGTCATAAAACAACATGTGTACTACTGTTTCATGAGAAACTATTTGTTCTGTAAGCCTTCACCTGAAGTACAATAAAATATTAAAAAAAAAAAAAAATGACCCCCCCAAGATGTCCATATCCTAATCCCTAGAACATGTATGTTACCTTAATGACTCTGCAGATGGAATTAAGGTTATAAACCTTACACTAGGGAGATCATCCTGGATTACCCAGATGACCCCAATGTAACCACACAGGCCCTTTAAAAATGGATGTGGCTGGTAAAAGATTTAATCAGAGGTGAGGTGAAGAAGAGGCAGGAGAGATTCAGAGCTTAAGGGAAACTGGCCCTCTGTGGCTGACTCTGAAGATGGAAGAAGGCCACCAGCCAAGGAATGCTGGTGGTCTCTAGAAGGTGGGGAAGGCCCTTAGTGGACAGCCAGCAAAGAAACTGAAATCTCAGTCCTACAACCACAAGGAACTGAGTCCTGCCAACAAACTGAATGAGCAAGGGAACGGAGGCTTCCCTAGAGCCCCCAGAAGGAGCGCAGGCCTGCCAACATACTGATTTTAGCCTAGCAAAACGCGTGTCGGATTTCTGACCTACAGCTGTGAGATAATCTGGTGGCTTTAAGACACTGAGTTTGTGGGGATCTGTTACTGAAGCAACAGGAAAGTAATATACCATTTATAATACAGTTACGTAAATAACAAGAGATGTCTAATTAATTTGAAGATAATCCAGGGCAGAAATACTGTCGTCTTTTTTTATTCCCATCCTTAATCAAGCACAGTGCTTGGCTGATAGCAGATGCACATAATATGAACACAGTGCACAATATGTTCAAATGCAAACTTTGTTTGTTTTTTTAAATACTTTTTTAGTGCTAAGATCAAAATAGATAAAAATAAAGATCAAGTGATATTAAAAAATTAGTCACTAACAGTTATGAAATCTATACCACATGAAAAACAACTAACTTACTTTGAGTCCATCGGTAAAGTCTTTCATAAGCTGTTTCTTGAAGCAAGGCCATCTGTTCCATAATTTCTAAGCTAAAAAAATTTAAAATTCATTGTAATTTAAACTTCTAGCCAAGAGATACATCTAAGCACCTAATTAGTTTGTTTGATTAAAGAACGATTTGGTTACAGTATATTATTTTTATCATTTTATGAAATTACTTTTCAAAATTTTTTTCAATTAAATAAATGTCAAATTTTAATACCATCACTTAGTTATCCAACTGCCCCTTTACTCTAAACCTGTCAGGGTATAACCTCCCTTTATCCAAAGATAAACAAGGATTAAACTCCTAATTCACAAAATGTAAAAAAAGAAAAAAAAACTGTTTCCCTCGAGTCCATTCCAACTGCCCTGTAGGGTTTCCAAGGAGCAGCTGGTAGATTCAAACTGCCGACCTTTTGGTTAGCAGCTGAGCTTTTAACCACTGTGCCACCAGGGCTCCCACAAAATGTCATGTAGTTTCAAAAGGAATGTAGACCCTAAATCTACTGCCCTGAGATAATCTTTAAACCTTAAACCTAAACTAACCCTTGAACTCTTCTTAAAGCCTAATGATAGTTTAACTTAAGCACTAAAAAAAGGTCTGCCTTGAGCAGTCTGCTCTTTCAAGAACTATCTATATGGGATCAAAGTCATAACAGCAACTTGAAAGATTAGATAATAGGAATCTTAGGGGTCAGTGAGTTTATATTAATGGGAGAGGAACAACTCAGAAAAGGAGGGTAAGAATGGTTGCACAACTCAATGTCACTAAATTGTACATGTAGAAACTGTTAAAAAAAAAAAAAAGAACATAGAATGTCTTTACAATTTCGGAAATATAAGGGGCAATGTAATCACTTCAATGAAAAGGTTACTCACCCTGCCGTTTGTTGGTTTGTTCGCAAGAGAACTTTGACATCATTATGAATTTGTTTTACTCTTCCCAATGCTTTGAAAAAATCCTTTAAAATTAAGAATGACTTTAAAATGTCCATTTTTTTTCAGATAAAAGTACATATAACTCTAATTGAAATTGTACTACAAAAGGAAAACAAATTATTTTGCCTATTCTGATGAAGCCTTCCTATACTGATCTCAACTTTCTCTAAGTTCTTATAAAGGGTGTAAAATATACTTATTCACATTTTAAAACATACATTAATTCAATGCCTAAACAAAACCAAAAACCAAACCTGTTGCTGTCAAGAGGATTCCAACTCATAGCAACCCTACAGGACAGAGTAGAACTGCCCTATAGGGTTTCCAAGGAGCAGCTGGTGGGTTCAAACTACCAACCTTTTATGGTTAGCAGCCAAGCCCTTAACCACTGTGCTACCAGAGCTCCAAAGTGCCATATGGTGTGCTACATGCCAGGGGAAAAATTCATAAAAACAAAAAAATCCCTTTCCTCAAGAAGCATACAGTCTAGTGAGAAAGAAATGCAAATCTAATTATATAAAGCAAAATGTGTATGTATTATATATTTTATGATGTAATTAAGCATGGCGTTCTTATCACTAAAGACAATGTTTCATCTATCTTTTATAGACCTGTTCTTCCCTCCTCACCCAAGAATCAAATAGAGAGTAGGACACCTAACAGGCTCATTAACTACATGTCTGTTGCTCAACACCACACTTCTTTTTCTTTAGCAAAATGTACTGGCATCTCATAGTTTCCAGATAGCCACAAATAGGGTTCCACACATGAAAATAATGCATTTTTTTTTTTAATATGACTAAAGCTAGAAACCTTCTCCTCTACTTTCTGCCAAGCGGAGACAGGGTGAGATGCCAAGTATTTCAAACGTGCAAAGTTCCTTGAAGGATAAGGGAGGTAACCTACTAATAAATAATATATCCAAACCAAATCTTCTCACCTACTTAACTCCCTACACCCAGGTGACTGGTCTCATTCTTGTCTAGGAGGTAAGATCACAGTGACATCAGGGAGAGCCCATCATGATCTCATGTGTCAGAATGCTGACAGCAGGCTTAGATTTACACCCCAACTCAGTTAGGAGGCTAAAGAATTCCTCAGAACATCTTCAAGGAAAAAAAAAGAAATGAATCTTGCTCCTCATATTGAGGTTTTGTAGCACTGTCAATGAATGTGAAAAGAATAATGATAGGTTAAAAAAAGATTAATGAGATGAAAGATAAGCAATTTCCAGGAGAAACAAAAGTTGTAAAAGAAAGAACCTGTGATCACTGTAACATCACTGTAACATCCACAGAAGTGTGACGTAACTATACTATGAGGACTGAAAGAGAGAAACAGTGTGAATGTGTACACGTTTATGCAGGAAGGAGTGGACAGAGGGAGACAGGAGGCTAAATCCTCATATTTCAGGACAGAAAATCAAGTTAAAAATTTAACATAACAATCACGGCATACTCTTTTTAACTATTAAATCTAGAACACAGAATATACAAAAGCAGCAATTAGCAAGGTTGAAATGGTTGCCAAAGATTAGAGGCGGGGAGAAGTGGAAGAGGTGACTCATGCTCTATTATAAGCCTTGTTGTATTCTTTTATTACCTAAATAAATAAAAAAAAATTTGAAAAAATAAAAATTGCAACAAATTAATTTAAAAATGTACCTCATACTTTTCAAATTTAAAATTTTTAAATGTTTTTGGATCAAACTCTATTTTTCAGATGGGAAAATAAAGCCTTAAAAGAGTCATTTCCCTACAGCATCTGTAACCAGTATGCTTTAAAACATCCCAACAGAAAGCAGAATACCTCAGTAACTGGTCCTTCTCTTGTACCTCGGAGAAGACTCATTTCATCAGGAGTCAGCTGGAACTTGGATAAGAAGGCATCTGCAACTTGTGCTCTTATTTCTAATCTTTGGCTACAATAAAAAAAAAACAAACAATAAAAATCACACATGCTATGCATCTGCATAACTAAAACTAATCCTGTCTCTGTGGGACAAAGAATTTAGCTTTGCCCTTTGACTCTGGTTTCTAAAAACAGCCTGGGCAACTTCGGTGGTCTTTGTCTTTCTAAAATAGGCAGGCAAGTAGGGGCTACACAGGCCGCATACCTGGAGAACTTCAGGAACGGAGGGGGGCCTGATATAATCATGCACATTCACTGATTAGACCGATTATAACTCTGCATTAAGGCCCCAGTCATGATGACTAGGGGACCTGGGACCTTGGAGTGCTCTCTGAGCCTCACAGATTGGTGAGAACATCTGTGCGTGGAAGAGGGTGGGCACATCCCTGGGGACAACGGAAGCCTCCTGGTGCTGGGATCTCTCCCAGACCTTGCCTGATGCGTCTCTACGCCTGTATCCTTTCTAGTTATAATAAATGAGTAACTGTAAGTATAGGCAATCGTTTCCATGAGTTCTATCAGTCATTGTAGCAAATTACTGAACCCACCAGGGGCAGTGAGAATCAGCAAAGAGGCTGGTGTTTGCCTACAGGGGGTATTTGGCAGAGGCTAGAAGGACAGAGTCCTAACTTGTGGAGATCCAACTCTGAGTGGTTAAGGTCAGAAAGTGCCAGGTGGGTGGCTGGTATCAGAATGATGAAGTGGGGAAGTGGTAACGAGTTAAATTCACATTTTGGGAATTAGCCTTATATCGGCTACTATTCATATACTCTCCGACAAAATTTTTAAATAAAGATGTGAAAAACTCTCAACATATTCTAAAGCCTCGTTTCTGCTTCAAATATTGGAAGTTCATAGCCTGAAGGTGTTAAGATTAGCTGATGTTGTTCTACTTCAGGTACTTGCACGGAGTAAAAGGAGTTGTTATACAAAAGAAGAAACACGTGCACAAATGATCCCTGCATTATAAATTTTCAGTCACATGTACTTGAATAGTTCACCTTGCAATAACAAGGTTATTATACAGGAAAGAAATATGCTGCTGCTTTCAATTAATTTCCTCTGAGTCACTAAAATACCTTAAGGTTTCAACATGAAGTACACAATAACTAAAAACCATGTCTATTAGCTTTTATTTTACGTTAGAAATAAAAGTCAAGAACTCATTTACTAATTCCTCATAAATGTATAATCACGTCTCCACTTTCAACTTTCCCACTTTTGCTACACACTATCGTAGACTCAAATACATGGGAAAGCTGGACAATGAATAAGGAAGACCAAAGAAGATTTGACACCTTTGAATCACGGTGTTGGCGAAGAATATTGAATATACCATGGACTGCCAAAAGAACAAACAAATCTGTCTTGGAAGAAGTACAGCCAAAATGCTCCTTATGATCAAGCATGTCGAGACTAGTCTCACATACCTTGGACATGTTATCAGGAGGGATCAGTCCCTGGAGAAGGATATCATGCTTGGTAAAGTAGAGGGTCAGTGAAAAAGAGGAAGACCCTCAATGAGATGGACACATACAGTAGCTGCAATAATGGACTCAAGCATAACAACAACTATAAAGATGGTAAAGAACCAGGCAGTGTTTTGTTCTGTTGTACACAGGGTCACTATGAGTCAGAACTGGACTTGATGGCATCTAACAACAACATACTAATAATAAAAAAATCTTTTAAATTATACTATGTAAATGCAATCCATCTAAACAATTTAATTGTTAGAAAAAGGCAGTCTAGTCTGAAATACAATCTCCAAGGACCTAGAAAAATACTAGGTAAGGTCACCATCAAAAAACACTAGTTCACTAGCTGCCTGATCAGAAACCACAGGAGAAAGGCAACATCCTCTGTATTTCAGACCTGAAGATACAGAAGTAAAATTACAGGTTACAAACCAGATCCATTCCTAACTGTGTCTTTAAATCTTTAAGTGGAATTTGTAAATGAGTCAGAACAGGTGTGTAGGCTCAAAGCCTTGTCAGTGCTTTAAAAGCTGCATGTGCAGCAAGTGAAAGTGACTGTGATGACAACAATTTGTTCCGAGTAGGGGTTGGTTCAATCATTTCAAAGGGAGGGCAAATTACGACAACATTAAAGGGCAAGTACCTGTTGTCCTTAAGTGGGAAGTTCATAACCTGGGGACTGCCTGTACTTCATTACTAGCATTGATAAAGAGTCAAATGCTCCTACTGGATAATATAAAGTTACAATGGGAGAATCCTCCAGGTGGCAGTAATGTTCTGCTTATCTCAAATGATAAAGTAAATCACCTAATTAAATTTACACAGGTTTAAGTGGCACATGTCCTTAATCTCTTATTGCTGATTTCTAAAAGTTACCTTAATAGGTTTGGTTTTACACTCTTTAAGCTCGAAGTACTATCATACAGGATTTAAAGTAATAAAAAAAAACTTCAGAAAATTCCTGAGACTGCACATATTAGCCATTTCAACTAAACCTTCTACGAAATTCTTTTGGGTTGATCATTAGAGTAAATTAATTTATAAGGCACAAAGGAAAATCAGGCTCTTTATTTTACAGTTGCACTTTATTTTAACCAAAACTAGTATGACACATATTGATCATACCCCTTAATCATTAAAATTCATTCCAAATAATATGGTTGACATTATCTAAAAATCAATCCATGTAATTAATAAAGACTTGTTGTTAGGTGCCGTCAAGTCGGTTCCAACTCATAGCAACCCTACCTACAACAGAACAAAACACTTCCAGGTCCTGTGACATCCTCACAATCACTGGTGTGTTTGAGCCCATTGGTGCAGCCACTGTGTCAATCCATCTCGTTGAGGGCCTTCCTCTCTTTCACTGACCCTCTACTTTACCAAACATGATGTCCTTCTCCAGGGATTGGTCCCTCCTGATGACACATCCAAAGTATGTGAGACAAAGTCTCACCATCTTTGCCTCTGAGGAGCATTCTGGTTGTACTTCTTCCAAGACAGATTCATTTGTTCATTTGGCAGTCCATGGGATATTCAATATTATTCACGAACACCATAATTCAAAGGGGTCAATTCTTTGGTCTTTCTTATTCATTGTCCAACTTTCACATCCATATGAGGGGACTGAAAACACCCTGGCTTGGGTCATGTGCACCTCAGTCCTTAAAGTAACATCTTTGCTTTTTAACACTTTAAGAGGTCTTTTGCAGATTTTCCCAATGCAATATGTCATGTGATATCCTGACTGTTGTTTTCATGGGCGTTGATTGTGGATCCAAGTAAAGCAAAATCCTTGACAACTTCAATATTTTCTCCATTTATCATGATGTTGCTTATTGGTCCAGTTGTGAAGATTTCTCTTTTCTTTATGGTGAGGTGTAATACCTACTGAAGGCTGTAATCCCTGATCTTGCAGGTTGTGTCATCTGCATAACACAGGTTATGAGTCTTCCTTCAATCCTGATGCCATCTTCTTCTTCATATAGTCCAGTTTTTTGGATTATTTGCTTAACATACAGATTGAATAAGTATGGTGAAAAGATACAACCCTGATGCACACCTTTCCTGACTTTAAACCACACATTATCCCCTTGTTCTACGTACACATTCCTCATGAGCACAATTAAGTGTTCTGGAATTCCCATTCTTCACATTGTTACTCATAATTTGTTATGATCCACATAGTTGAATGCCTTTGCATAGTCAATGAAACACAGGTAAACATCTTTCTGGTATTCTCTGCTTTCAGCCAAGATACACCTGACATGAGCAATGATTTCCCTCAGTTCATGTCCTCTTCTGAATCCGGCTTGAATTTCTGGCAGTTCCCTATCGATGTACTGCTGCAACCACTTTTGAATGATCTTCAGCACAATTTTATTTGTGTGTGATATTAATACTGTTTGATAATTTCTACATTCAGTTGGATCACCTCTCTTTGGAATAGGCATAAATATGGATCTCTTCCAGTCGGCTGGCCAGGTAGCTGTCTTCCAAATTTCTTGGCATAGATGAGTAAGCATCTCCAGTGCTGCACAGTTTGTTGAAACATCTCAACTGGTATTCCACCAATTCCTGGAGCCTTGTTTTTCACCAACGTCTTCAGTGCAACTTGGACATCTTCCTTCAGTACCATTGGTTCTTGACTGATTTCCCTATCAGGTGGTTCTAGGGCCTTTTTTTCCTACTGGAAGGTCACCTGGTGGTTTATTTTGGCCGCCTACTGGAGCCACCCTGTCCTGTTCTTTTTTTGTATGTTTTGATATCGTCTGCTATTTCTGAGACATTCAGGAATTATTTTCTTCATTTATTGATTGTAGTTGCTTGTTTCGTCCTGCTTTTTTGTTTTATTTGGTTATATCTGGGCAGGTGGGCTGGGCATGTTTTGTTGCCTTCTTGTTTCTGGGCACGATACTTCTCGTCACGTTGTGATGTGCAGAGCTAAGTGGGTAAGAGAAACAGAAGTGGAAAAAAGCACAAAAAATGAAAATAAATAAATAAAATGTCGGCGTGGTGAGAACAGGCCGGAGGGGGTGGGGCAGACCAGGGGAGGTGGTATGCCAACGGCTCTATGGCCAAGCTGTTGAGAAGGGGCATGAGCGCGCACAGGGCTAGGTGAGTAGGATAAAGGAAAGAAGGGGAAGAGGGTGAAGAAACAAAACAAAAAAGCATTAACAAAATAAACATGTTGCTGAGGGAGCCGGCCATTGGGGGCGGGGCAGAATCAGGGTAGCAGTAAGCAGACATCTCTTGCCAGGCGGTGGAGCATGGCCCATCAGTAAGACGCAGACACAGCACAGGGCCTAGGTGTGAGGGAGAAGGAAAAGGGAGAAGGGGATAGACAAAGATAAAACATATGGTGCTGAGGGAGCTGGCCTGAGGGGGCGGCGCAGACCTGGGGAGGCGTGTCCCAGTACTCTAACCAAGCGGTACAGCATGGCCCAGCATGGCCCGTTGAGAAGGGGGGTGGGGCGGCACAAGTGGCTAGGTGGGCGGGAGAAAGGAAAAGAGGGGAGAGAGAAAAAAAACA